ATAAATTAAATATATTGACGAGAAAAGACTATACAAACAAGCAACAAAGAGTTGTAGTCACCGAAAAAATAAAAAGCAGCTGCCAATAACATTGCACCAAAGCAGTAGCAACAAACACTATTTATAAGGATATTCCATTCTTGTAAAACAAACTTATTAGTAACGAAAATGGTGATTTACAAGGAACTCAACCGAAGTCATAGTGTACTTAATTAAGTTGAGAACCACCGCAATGCGTTGACACGAATTCTTAAATCTACGGTTGCTTTGGTCACCATACATAATACACAGTAACAACAAGACACAACAAAAAGAGGCCAAGGAAACCTTAGCCAAAGGACATTGCACTTGAACAACACCAGAGACCAAATACTAGAGTAGGTGACAATGAGGCTCCATAACACTAGAGCAGAGGGCGCAAGTGACTGGGCTGACAAAGCAAAAGTCAAAATCCTATTCATAGTAGGAAGTTTGCATTTAACGGCCAACTAAAGAATGAAATTCATCTTTGAAATATTTTGATTATACCATACAAGTTTAGACCAACCTACATTAGACTTAGATTGCTGAAACCTATCCCAAGTAGAAGCTGCATAATTGATGCTAGACGACGAAGGAGTCCATCGAATAATATCAGCAAAGCTAGGATTTGAACAATATTACATAGAAATTTAAATTTCAATGGAGAAGAATTGTGAGGCTAGCACCAATTAGAACCATTCAAAATATTATTAACCAAAGCAGTTTTCAGTTGCCCGGAATTCACAATGATTGCAACCCCAATTGACAACAAGAGGACCTAACAGAAGCCAATTATTAGACCAAAATAAGGTTCTCCTACCATCCCCAATTTTGTGGAAAAGACAAGCCTAACAGAATCCTTCAAACAAAGATGCTTCCTTGTAGAGAAGGAAATTTAAGCCTTTAAATGCAATAGTCTCATTTGTTTTTTAGGTGGTGCTATCCACATACCTATTTTTACCTTTTACACACTTCTTTTAATTTTCAGCAGTCGAATTGAATGAATTGGAAAAGATCAATAAATAAAAATCAACAAGGATGTGCTAGAAGTAAAAATGACTGTGAGTATTTAATTAATTAATTTTTTTTAACACTTAGCTGATTCCGAGAACTTGTACCTCATTGCCGGTTTGTTCCTTAAATTTTTATTTTGGCTAATTTTCACCCCTAAACTTTTATAAATGGCTAATTTTTTTTTCTTACTGTCATGTTTTCGTCCACTAAAGTCACATGTCAATAGCTAAATATAATTCTTGGTGATCTTTTAGTTTAAATATAATTCTAAGAAAAGCTAAAACCTAGTTTAGGTACCAATGGAAAAATTAACCAAAATAATTATATAAATACTACTACGATTTAGAATAATTATATGATTGCCACTCAGTCTTATCATGTTTTTCGATCAACGTTTTCTTGCAACCGATCGATTAAATTTTCTGACAATTGGTCTGTTAATTTTCTTGTCTCAATATCATTGTCCAACAATTACTTTCAAAAAACATGTTCAACAATGAATTTTCACATAAGTTTTCGAATGTTATTCTGTATGCAAGTAAAATGACAATAAACTTGCACAACAAAACATAATTGAAGATGAAAAAGTTGCACCTATTGCTATTTTTTGGGTAAATTACACAAAACTACCTCAACTATAGGCCGAACCACAATCTTATATCTCATGTTTTAAACATTACAATGTCATACCTCAACTTATGATTTCGTTGCAATGTCAGACCTCCGTTAAATTTTCTGTCAATTTGACTATTAAATGATGACATGGCAAGAGTAGGGCCTACTCATTTGCCAACTAAAACAAAAAATTAATAAATTATTAATTTTTATTTAATAATTAAAAATAATTAAAAATTAAAATTAAAATTTTATTTAACAATTAACAATTAAAATTAATTTTAAAAAAATACTCTCTATTCCTTTCTCCCCAGAATCGTTCCCCTTCGTTCTCACCTCACTCCCTCCTCTGTCCCTTCCTTTCTTGTTCTCCTTAAACACGGCCAAGTTTGGAATACTGGATCTAAGTGGAGTACACCCGAAGTGGATCCAAGCGGGGAGAATGACTAGACTCCACCTTCTAGATTTGGGTACGTCGAAGAGTTTTGCCATGCCGAAATGACATATTTTGGCGTAGATGAAGATGCTGGAGCTCATGATGTGGTTATGGGCGAAGGTGGAGTTGAGGCCGGAGCAGGGGTGGATGTAATCAAAGCTGTGGGCGAGGTCAGTGGTGATCTGAGGGAGAGGCGGCGCTGGAGGTCGAGGAAGGATTCTGGGCTAGTCCCCAGTGTCTTTGTCTTTTTCTCTTCCATGGAAGCACTAGAGGCTGCAGCCAGCTAGCCTTGCGCTTGCAATGCCACCACCGAGCACATCAAATCTGTTGGTTATATGTCAACAATATGTGATAAAATTATATAAGCTAATAAATAATAAATGCGAATAGGAAATTAATAGAGTATGAACAATGAAATAATATTGAACATAAATATTGAAGATCGAGGCTTGTGTACTGCAATATCCTTGAAACAAAAATTTCATCTCTACTCAGTGCTTGTAGTTCTACGGATGTCTGCTTCACCAGAATTCAATGATCAAGTCAGAATTCCAGCGCCAGAAAACTTGGCTTCTAGCAAATTTCTATGTGGTTCTCTCAGTAAGGATGTTTTGGATTATAGAAGAAGAATTGTATTTTCTGTATTCTAAATATCATGCAGATGGATGTATATATAATATGATTATGCCTGTTCGCAACAGGTATGAGGAAGAGATGCATCTGTTGGGAGACATCTTCTCAGAGGGGTGTTTCTTTCTGTATTTTTTCACACTTTAGACTTCATCTGAAAATATGAGTTTGTTGGTAAAAAATAATTATTAATTAAATTTGAAATTAATTAAAAATAATTAATTAAATATGAAAATAATTAATTAATTTAATTATTAGAGCCCTAGCCCCAAGACTTAAGACTCATCTTTTGATAATTAATCACCAATTAATTAGTACACTCCAAAGCCCAACTCTAAGAGTGAGCCCAATTTTAGTCTCCAAGCCTATCATTCCAATCATTTTCTATAAGGGACAAAGCCTTATAAGGTGAGGAAACTTTTTGGGAATGACTAATGTGGGACAAAGAAATTTCTACTCAAAATTTCCAACAAAATCTAACTCAAAGAAAAGGGGGCAATTCAATCGATATCTTTGAGAGAAATTTTGACAAACGAAAAACAATTGAGAGAAAAAGTGACTGAAATGTTATGAGAATCAAGGAGAAAGAAAATCGGAGAAAGAGGTTTGGCGTTGGAAGCAAGAACTTTTCTAGGGGATTAAACTGGACCATTCATTTGGGGTTGAACGGTAGAGATTGAACAATCCTTGTTCAATAAAAATGATTAGTTTATTATTAATTAATTAAATTTTTATTCTAGTTGGCAAAGAAGTGGGACCCGCTCCTGCCACATCATCATTTAACAGCTAAATTGACAAAAAATTTAACGGAGGTTTGACATTGCAACGAAGTCATAAGTTGAGGTATGACATTGCAATGTTTAAAACATGAGATATGAGATTGTGATTTGATCTATAGTTTAAGGTAGTTTTGTGTAATTTACCCTATATTTTTATATCACTATTGGGTAGGGATGAAATTTTTCGGCAAAAGGAAAACAATTGTAGCACCAGGATTTGGATCCTCTCCGGATCCCCTCCTTGGGGATCCCGAGGATCAATGCACAATGACCGTTCATCAAAGATCATGCAGCCACAATTAAATGTTTTTCACGAAAAATGAGACTGTTTTACTTTTAAAAATATAAAAAGTATTTAATTGTGGCCGCACGATCTTTGATGAACGGTCTTCGTGCATTGATCTCTAGGATCCTCAAGGAGGAGATCCAGAGAGGATCCAAATCCCAAATGGAATGAGATAAGGTTGATATTTTTTCTTAGGGAACTGTTATTGACACTCCAAAAATCTCATTCTACACTCCAAACTTTCTATATTTGAAAAGAAAAATACACTTGTGAGAAGTGTAGAATGAAATTTTTGAAGTGCCAATAACATTTCTCTTTTCTTAAACTTGGTATTTTCCCTTGAAACTCATATGAAAACTGTTATTTAATCTGAATTTGTCTTAATTTTTTTTTTATTTGCTCTCTTTTCTTTCTTAAGGTTACTTGTTATCTTTTTCTTCTTCAAATCTGACATTTTTTTAACGAAGACAAGACACTTGAGGGGAACATGGCCATGTATTATAATTAAGGGGAGTTGATCAAAGTAAAAGTTGAAGGGGTTAAATCAGAAGTGCAATACAAAGGTGTAGAGAATATTATTTGTTTAAAAATAAAAATAAAAATAAAAAAAATAAAATAAAAATCGGCAGCGCAATACAAGTTTAGAGAGGAAATGACCAAATACTCTCCTTTTATACATAGATATTTGAGAATGAAGATTAGGTATCGGACTCACCTTTAAAAAATCTATATTTTAAAATACTCTAATTTAGACAAAAAAGCATTCGAACTTGAATACAATACTGTCCTAACCAATTGCTTTAACCTAAGTACACTTTGGTAAACACTGTGCAGTCATCCATCATGAGTTATGCACAACAAATTTTCTAGTTAAATTTATTGCTTTTCACCGTACAAACTATATATGTATGTGGTTTGCTTTGGCAACGTAAGGATCATTAGTTTTGCTCCATCTTCCTCTACAAGGATACATAATTGGACAAAGCAAAGAAGTAGGTAAGTTATGAAATTCAAGAATTTTTCATATTTGACTAAAATGTTAGTCCAATGATCAAACAATACCGCAACAGGATCATAATGAGTGAAATAAAAAAAAAAAACACGTAACAAAAAGCAACATTACATGTACCACATTTATTAATCATATCGTTCCTTAATATTAATCTTACATAACTTCTATCTATGAAAAATGCGTGAATAGTATAATCAACAAATATAGTTCAGATAAACATAGAAAGTTCTTATTGATAATTTTTAGTTCAACTATAGCCATCAATGACATAAAGTAGTAGGGTTTTGTTGCAGATAAACCAAGGTTCTATGGATCAACCAATGTTCTAGCAAATTCTTTAAAACTTGCAATCACTAATAATAAAAGTTTGGTGGTTTTAGCCCCAAAACTTATAGCCAGAGTACTGCTATGGGACTTCTAACTCTATATTTCTCAGCCACCAAAGTTAAAGATCCAAAGGAAGAATTGGTTGAAGTTGCTCCACCCAAGGCAACAAATCTCACTTTGTAGCTCATTTTTTCACCCATCTTTTTAAATCTCAAGGTTTTAGGCTCAACACTCACTGAAACTCCAGCAGGTTCTTTCACTTGCACTGCATAAGTACTAGGAATGCTACCGACATTTTTCACTGTCCTCTTGTATGTCACACTCGTCTTCCTTCTATCTTGGTCGAAAATTACAGAGAACGAAGGGTAATTCAAGTCGCCAGACTGAACAACTGAAGTACCAGGACAAGTGAAATTAACCCCATTGGAGAAAAGAGCTATTTGGGAAGAGTTGTAGTTTAAGCTGCAGAGGTAAAGCAGATAGTCTTCAGTGGTGATGTCATAAACTAGGCCTGGATCAGCAGCACTTTCTGGATCAACGTGCCCCGAACCAAATGCAAAAGGGCTAGCTGGTTGAGAACTATTCGAGCCAACATCAGAAATTGGAGAACGCTTGTTGTTTATGGTATAAGCTGTGGTCATTAGTGCCGATTTGATTTCTGCAGGTGACCAATTCTTATGTTCCGACTTGAGAAGAGAGGCTAAGCCACTAACATGAGGGCAGGACATTGAAGTGCCTGAGATTATATTAAATGGCACGCTTCTCTTATCGCTTTTGAGCATGCTTGGGCTAGGCTTGGGTGGCCAGGCAGCCAAAATGTTCACACCCGGTGCAGTCACATCAGGTTTGATCACATCTGGTCCAGCTGAACTTGGTCCTCTCGACGAAAATGCTGCCATCACAGGCGCAGTGTTGCCATAGACTGAGCCTTGGAACACAAGTGAAGCCGATGGTTTCTTTGATGACATCACATATTGTCTGATGGCTTTAGCAGCCGAAGATCCAAGAGAAGCGGCAGGCAAAATGTGAGGATCAGCAATAAGTTCCTCTCCTTCGGCGTCACTGTTGAGTAAGAGCAGTCCGGCTCCCCCTGCCTTCTTCACCTTCTCTCCAGTTCCTGCTGGCATGTATAATCCTCTCTCACAAACCACAATCTTTCCTTTTACAAGCTTCTTAACCAGTGCACCCTCAAAGCAAAACTCAGCTCCTAGGCTATTACCTGCGGTTCTGTTATACACTAGTGGCAATTGCTTAGTTTTTTCACCTGAATACAGAGACGTCCCTATGAAAATCTGCCCATTCCCGAGCTTTACAACTGTTGGGAAACGCCTGTCAGTGTAGCTTGCTGCAACAGTCATAATCCAAGGTGCACCGTTGCTAACACTTGAAGCAGAAGGGCCTGAATTGCCTGCAGAGCATGAAACAGAAACTCCATTTTGAACTGCTCCAAATGTAGTAATAGCAATGTTGTCTCTGTAAAAAGGCCTAGAAGTGCCTCCCAAAGAGAGCGACAAAATGTCTACCCCATCTGCAACAGCACTGTCAATTGCAGCCATTACATCAGAGTTGGCACATCCGAATTGCCAGCAGGCCTTATAGGCTGCGATTCTCGCGGTACGCTTCATACCGCTGGCTGAGCCCTTGGCCAAACCAAATAAGCTAGCTTGGCTTACAAGGTTTCCAGCTGAAGTGGAAGCAGTGTGAGTTCCGTGCCCACTTGAATCACGAGGAGATCGATACTCTTCTGTTTCGTTGATTCTGCCAATAATGCCCTCATACCCTCTGAATAAGGCTCTTGCACCAACAAGCTTTTTGTTGCAATTTGAAACTGAGAACTTTGTGCCTTCCTCACAAGTGCCTTTCCAACGAAAGGGCACCGGGGAAATGCCTGTGTCATGGAAGCTAACATGTTCTGGCCAGATCCCTGTATCGACAAAGCCAATGATCACGTCCGAGGCCAAGTTAGAAGCACTCCAAAGTCCTTTGCCGTTTTGTAAGCCAAGAAACTGAGGAGTGTGTGTGGTGTGGAGAGTTAGCAGTTCATCAGGTGTCGCGGAGAGGAAACCATCTATTCGGTTCAAGGATCGGAGTTGAGAGACTGATAGCTTTGCTGCAAAACCTGAAACAGCAGTTTCATAAGTGTAAAGGAGCTGAGGAGTTGGTGGTTTGTTTTCCTCTTCTGCTTGAGATGAGAGTGTGGTGATAGAATCGATCACAGATTTGTAGTACCGTTGGTGATCTGAGTCCGTGATTTTCGCCTTGTCCATGTGAACTATGTATGTCTGTTCTTTCATTAAAGCGGTTTTTGTTGTAGCCATGAAGACTAAGAACAGCAAGCACGTTCTAATTATGACCATGGTAGCTCTGAAAAAAAAGGACAAGTCAATAAATAATAAGGAAGACAAATTAAGCAAAGAAACACCACCAACTTTGAGTAATGTTAGAGGGATCATAGTTTTGAAATGATTTAGCTATCAAATTATGCGGAAGTTGTCAATGAAAAACTGATTATAATAATTGATGTAGTAAGTACACATCAGTTGTCACGTAATGCGTAACGAATATAGCTAGCAAATGTATGTGGTCGGTCTAACATTACTCAAGAGATACATCGAGAGAGTGAGAAAAATTCAAAGAGACGTTCGAATATGTACCTTTGCTTGCCTCAAACAAGGAGAATGAGGAAGTGTATTTTGTGTGGGGTGAAGATTTACCAACTTAAAAGGTTGTTTATATAGAAAAGAAAAGAAGCATGCTTTTGATATATATGCGAATATTGCACTTAGTGTAGAAATTATTAGAGAGACGGGCTAAAGGTCTACCTCCAACAACACCAATATTGTCCCCAACTTGGTAATTGCAAGTGTGGGGTTTTATCGCAAAAGGCTTCGATATTAGTTGGAGTGGAATTAGAGTATTTAAATTCTTCTTTTTTCATTGATACGGTTGATGTTGAACACTTAGGGTGACTTGAAGTTGACAATTTGATCTTTTTACTCTTATATGCACCATACCGACAACAAGCGTGCCCACTTTCTCTACTTCAAAGTGCACGCCTGCAAATGGATCAAAACTAGAAACATAACTGAACAAAAGGTAAGATGCCGAATCATGAGGTATCCAGCACACACCTTCTTGGTGCAAAAGTAAATCATGGGAAGGAAGATTTAGTCTGTAATCATGTATGATGGAACACCTCTTATATTTAAAAAAGAAAATGCCTTCGGCTGCGAAAGTGCTTGTGCAAGTATTGATTCATATTATATTTTTGGCTAGCCATTTTAACACTCTTTTTTTTCTTCTTCTCCTAACCTCTTACACGCACTCTTCTTCTGAGTGTCGAAAACATGTACACTTTTAGAGTGCATACGGCTAAAATACGATAGCCAAATTCGCTATTTTTTCTCTCTCTTCTTTCATACAACTTTTATCGCCCTATTGATTCATTTAAGCACAACAATTTACCGAATGAACTACGGGCTATGGTTTTTATACTTTCATGAGCTAACTAGTTTTGATTACAGTTTGGGAAAATGAGTTAGAATTATGCTACAGCAAAGTTGCAATACCATTCCCTTGTTTACATATGCGACACTTCTACTGTTCTTTGTGTTGGGCATGTCCAACTACCGTATCATACATGTTTTTACAACATATTTTCTAGTTTATTTATTCTTCTGGGTTTCGGTTATTTGTCCCCCCTCATTGTACTTTTTCTTTTCTAATAAATTTTGGTACGTTCGGGTGTTCGAGGGTCGTCCTTTATCCCACGCTTATGCCAAATTAGGGGAAAACTTTTGACAATGCGATCAATTTGCTTCAGCTCCTCCACTCCAAAAAAAAAAAAAAAACATATAAATTAAAGAGAGAAACCATTAATCATGCCAAAGTGTAGAAGAGTATACATTGTGAAAGGAAGTGGGTTTTGCAACCTTGCTTATGGTCCCCTGAAAGATAAGAGGTGCTTGTTGATTTGTCGGGTCAGTCCTCTATTAAAAAAATAATACAGTTACCAAAATATGATGTCCCTAAGATTATTCGATTTGAAACCATTTTTTCGAGCATGCACTAGTTCATTTGGGAGAAAAGTCCAAGCAAAAACAAAATTTAATGGCTAAAGCAAATCCCGGCCACTCTCTCTTACCACCCCTTGCCAATGATGTCATGGACCAACACAAGTAGGTTACACCTTTATTAAAAAAGTGAAAGATTGAGGTTTTTCAAAATACGGTTTCTCTAGCGTTTTCCTTCAAATCCGCAAAATGACCAATTAATTATTGTTCTTTTAGCAGTCACCACGTGGCCTTATCACCAATGCCTTGCTTTGAGTTCAATTCAAGGTAGTAGTAGACTACTAGTAGTGGGACTGAGATGTGAAATAATGGTATGTATGCACTTACTAACGTGATATGACATGATGATTAGCCCCACTTCACTAGGACACTAGTTCCAAACGGAATCTCATCCAAAAGATTATTTGTCTTGTGATAGCCTGCTCCGATTTCCTTGCGAAGCTTTTATTATACTACAACTATTAGGGAGTATGACTCGAATGAGAAACATTTATGCAAATGGATCTCACCTAACACAATACTACATACAATTCCTTTTCAAATAAAATAAAACTATTTAGACTATATTTATTGATTGCATCTCTCATGTATAAACCTTACAATAGTTGAATGGTTCGTCAAGTTATATTCGAGTTACACAAACAACTATGGAGGACAAACATTTTATTTGAGTCAATTTCTATCCATAGTTGTTTTTTTTTTTTTAAATTCAATAATAAAAGAGAGAGCCTGTGAGAATGCTACTATAGTTCACTGTTTCATGGATTTCCTGTATATATATATATATATATATATATATATATATACACACACTAACTAGGCACCTTCAACTCCAAGTAATATTCTGATCATGGACTGTAAATCACAATGGGACTCCTCACGGTGTATCGAGTGCTTTTCCATCCGAGCGAGCCGGATACCATCCGCATACTGGTCATAGGGTTCGCCTTCACCACAACTTGGAAGGTCTTCTTTTCCAAGGTGCTGGAGAAAGACAGACTCATGGGCTTTACAGTGATTTCAACTCCTTTTGGTGCTCTAATAGTGGCATTGTAGATGGATTTTGCAGGGCCCACATTGGTGACAGTTCTTCTGAAAACACCAACTGTTGGTTGCTTGTTGCTTTTCAAGCTGAGCTGCATGGTGGGATAGTTGAGAGCATCATAGCCTTGACCAGGAAGCAATGAGGAGCAGTTTAGGGTTTTTGAACCCACCAAAGGGGCTAATGAGGACCCTTTGTAGCCTTCATGGCAGAGGAACTGAATGTAGGACAATATTTCATCCATGTCATAGACTAGGCCCGGGTTAACAGCTTTAGCCGGGTTCACTTGACCGGCACCATAGGCGAATTCTGCGTCGCTGGTCACCCGCTGGCTCATTGGTTTTGCTTGACAAAGATGTAAACATTGTAATCAGAGTGCAAGTCATGATAACAGTGAGCGTAATGAAAGAATTTGAGTACTATTAGTAAAGGCATGCTTTTGTTGTCAGAAGCACATAAAATCGTCCATTAAAAACTCAATTTACATTCAACTAAATGCACTTCCTGAGAAAACACGTATAGCGTGCTTCTCCAGAAGCACTTAAGGGTGTTTCTCCCCAAGCGAGTGTTATTTTACATGTTTTTCCATTTCAGAAACGCTTTTAGTTATTTGGGGACACATTTAGCACTCAAAAATGAAAAAAGTTCCTTACCTGTGGTCAAGATGGCAGATCTAATTGCAGCCGGTGACCAATTCGGGTGGAATGACTTTACGTATGCTGCTACTCCAGCAACGTGCGGGCATGCCATGGAAGTTCCAGACATGAGTGTAAATTCTGAAAATTGTGTGTCACCTGCCAATCCAGTGAGCGACTTCCTTAGAGTATAAGACGCTAAGATGTCAACCCCAGGTGCTGCAATATCAGGCTGCATCACATAATACGGCACCAAAAACGGGTTCATGAGTTTCTAGCAGTCTTAGTTAAACTATGAGAAAATGACCAAGAAAACACCTTGAGGATGCGGTTGGATCCTTGATTTGGACCCCGGGAGGAGAACGAAGCAATAAACGGAGCACGTTTCTTTGTTTGTTGAGACTTGTATATCACTGCTGCTGGTGATCTGCATGATAAAGAAAATGCTACTTATTTTGCTATGTAAAAATATAAACATTAAATAAATTTAGTTATAAGTTCTTAGTGTACTATCACCCTTCTTTTATTCATTATTCATTCGAGCGATAATCTAAACTACGAGGATGGGACTAGAACGTGGGTGCGGAGTGGAGAGCACTCTCTACCTTGTTGTGTGAATGTATGCATCTATGATATCCCCGATTGTAGAATTGACCATGGTTCCTGGAGCCATGAATATTTGAGCAGCATCAAGAAACTGATCATCTTCAATTATAATGCCAGCCCCTCCAATTCCTTTAACCACAGAATCAGCGCCCCAAGATCCGAGTTTGCAGAAAACAAGCTTGCCCTTTACCTTTCCAGGGTCTAATGTATCCTGAACACAGAACCTGTCATACACGACAACCGTCCGAAGAATTAGTATCTTTTTATTTTCTCAGATTAAGTTAAAATTGTTTTTCTTGATGGATGATGAACAAAGTGATTGATTACCTTGCACCTTCCTTGGTTTGAGAGCTTTGTGCTACATCAACCCCACTAACAATAGGGTATAAGTTTTTCTTTGGACTGAACATGCTCACTCCAACCCCCTGCATGCATGTATCATATAAACACAATCAAATTAACAGCATCATACAACACAGCCAAAGTACGGGACATTTAGAAAATTCTAACTTTTTACTAACACAATAAACACTTTTAGCACTTTTTAAATAGCAACTCGAGGCCCCCTCGAGTGGTTCTCAAGTCCTCTTGAGGCCCCTTGAGTATGGTCAAGGGCCCCTCAACCAATACAAGTAGGTGACACCTTCAACGTGTACGAAACATAACTACAAAAAAAATTCTTCCTACAGTTTGGTTTAATTATCATACACCACCAAGTATCATCCGGTAGTTAATTTTGGATCAAAATAATCATACTATGTGTTCCCCCTATGCATTCGATTACGAATCTCTGCTCTGCAATTTAGATTAGCTTAAAGTAAAATATCGTTTGCATAAAAAATTAAAAAAAGTCAAAGCAAAATTCAAAGGGTGTGCACCACCTAGGCAGAAATGTAAACTTACTGAGACATCCTTTCCATTGCCCAGATGAACTTTGCTAATGAAATCCCTATCAATCCCACTGGCAGCCACAGTTACCAACCATGGTGCATGATTAAGAACACTTCCCAAATTTGGTCCATCATTTCCAGCTGAGGCCACAGTAATAATACCCTTCTTAATGGCATGAAATGCACCTATTGCTATAATGTCCGACACATAACTTGAACCCCCTCCGCCAATAGAAACTGATATGACATCGACGCCGTCATGTATGGCAGCATCATACGCTGCTAGGATGTCCATGTCTGAACAGCCACTGCTAGCCCAGCATACTTTGTACATGGCCACCCTAGCCGAAGGCACTGCACCTCGTGCAGTGCCCTTGGCTAGGCCGAAGAGGTTGGCGTTGGGGACCTGGTTGCCTGCTAAGGTTGATGAGGTATGAGTCCCATGGCCATCCACATCTAAGGGAGATAAGATGTC